GGTTCCCCTTCCCCAAGGCAGAACCACACAAGGAATGTTTCAGACACACAGGGAGTTCTACAATAAACACAACCCCAGAGTTGTCTGAAGGCAGAATTAGAGCAGCTGCTGAAGGACAGACAAGCTCTGAACTCCTTGCAGCTGAAAGCACCAAGTGGGTTGTTGGGAGGTGTGTGAGTGAGGCAAGAGTGAGGGAAGGGAAATGCAGAGAGCCCTGGGAGTGTTTCTGTGCAGACAGGCTGCTGCAAGGGCAGTGTTGGACTTCTCTGGGGGGAACTGTGAGGGAGGTCGGGGCAGAGTGACCTCCCCAGTGACCTCGAGATGTCACACAGCCACCTGGGATGTCACAGCCCACTCAGTGGTGTCAAACAACCTGCTCTGGGATGTCACACCACATTTCTGTGATGTCACATCTCTTCCTATATGCCACAAAACCACCTCGTGATGTCACATAGCCTCCTGTGATATCACACAGCCACATTTGATGTCACAGCTCACTCTATGATATCACAGTCAGCACTGTGATGTCATACAACCTGTCTTGAGATGTCACATGGCTCTTCTATAATGTCACTGCCCACTCTAGGATTTTAAATCACAACCATGTGGTGTCACAGTCTGCTCAGTGATGTCACAACCCTCTCTGTGATATTCTCTATCTAACCTCTGGTGTCATAGTCCTCTCTGTGATATCACAACCCACTAAGTGATATCACCCAGGCCACACTGTGATGTCATGCAGCCACACTACAATGTCACAACCTGCACTGTGATGTCACAGATCCCCTCTATGATGCCGTAGCTGCTCAGTGACCCCACACAACAAACTCTGGGATGTCACAGCCCCAGCTGTGACCTCACACAACCCACTCGGAGCTGTCACACAGCCCCTTTCTGACATCCCAGCTGCTCTGGGGCTCCAGGACACAGCCACAGAGGTGCTGCTGGGACACAGCACCCTCTGGCACATCCCACAGCCCCTGCCAGTGCTGAGCCCCTGGCAGCTCTGTCTGGGCCTGCTCTCTGTGTCCCTGAGCTGCCCTGGCAGGGCCCCAGCCCTGCTGGGCTGTGCTCAGGAGCTGCTCCTGGCCAGAGCTGTCTCTCTGCAGCGCTGCCCTTGCCAGGAGCTGCCTCTGGGCCAGGAGCCCGGCCCAGCTCAGCAGCACAGACACAGCACCAGCACTTTCATCACCCTCTCGGGCCTTTGGGGCTCTTGGCATCACACTCAGTCCCTCAGAGTGTGCTCCAGAAACTCCTCAAGAGCTCCAAGTCAGATGGAAACACTGAAGTTTCTTGTAGTTGAAATGAGAGACACGAGTGAGAAAGCGTCCCCAGGTTCCAGGCAGAGCAGAAGACTGGAGGCCCTGATGGCAGCTGGGGACAAGCAAGGGAAAGGTGTCTGTGGTGCTGAGCAAAGCTGGATGTGTTTCAGGAATGGCAAGGGCCAAGGGCTGAGCCCCAGCCCCTGGCAAGGCAGATGCTGTCCCTCCCTCATTGCTCAGGGCTCTTCCCGGGCCACTGGCATGTGGGGATGTGCAATGCCAAGGGCAGCACCATGGGGCGGCCCCTGCCAGGCTGCTGAGCAGGGACAAGGAGGCAATGAGGCCCCAGGGCTGCCAGGGTCACTTGTCCCCTGCTGGCCTCAGGCCCAGGGCCAGCAGCCATGGCCAAAGGGCTGCACAAGTTGCCTCTGGCAGGGCCTTGCAGCTTCACAGCCCAGGGCCCTCAGCCTCTACCTGCTGCTTATGTGATGAGGCCTCCAGACCCCATCCTGGGAGATTTTGGGTCTTCTCCATGGTCTGTGAAAATGGAAACACTGGTGAAAGTTATTTTCTACCAAATCTTGCATTGACAAGGATCAATATAATTAAACTGAAGGAGAATGGATTTAGATTTGTTAGAAGGAGAAAATATTTTACAATCAGAGCAGCACAAAACTGCAACTGCTTTTCCAGAGAAATGGATGCCCCATCCCAGGACTGCTCCCAGAGCAGGAGCTCTGTGCAACCTGACACAGTGAAAGCCGCTCCCCTCCCCAAGGATGGAATTCCTGTTGTGTGGGTTCTCTGATGTGCTGGGTGCCCTCACAACCCTCCTGGCCAGAATGTCTGCTGAGGGCCAGCCAGGCTGCTGCAGTGGCACTGACCTCACAGCCATCACCATTGCAGCCATGTCCCCTGGGCCTGCCTCTCCCCTTTCCTCTGCCCCTGCCTTGTCTCTGCTGCCATGAAGAGTTGTTTCATTATTATCTTGTCCCCAAGGTGCTGGGGCCAATTGCTTCCCAGTCAGGCTCCTGGAGCAGCAGTGGCTTTTCAGAGCCCAGCCAGAAACGAGCCCTGAAGCAGCAGCTCTGCAGTGCTGGCCACCAGGCCGGGGTGCCAAGGGAGCCTTCTGACCATGGCCTGGAAGCAGCTGCTGCTGCCAAGGTGCTTTTGGTGCCTCAGGCTGTCCCTGGCACAGCTCCCAGCACGGCACTCTGCACTTGTGCCCGAGCCCTTCCCTGGGTTAGGGCTGGCCTGGGGCTTTTCCTGCAGCAGGATCTGCCCTGGGCATGGCACAGGAAAGGCAGTTCCTGCTGGAGCAGGAGGCTGTGCCTGGAATGGGCTCAGACAACTCCAGCAAAGCCCTGTTCACTTCAAAATTGTTTCCTAGGGCGCTATAGTCTAATAATTGTTATAGCTCCTGTCTGTCTAATCATGCCAGAATCAGTGACAGTAGTATTTGTATAAATATATCTGATATTCCATTGTTAATCCTGTGGGGAAAATTGCATTACGGTTCAATTCCACCTGTCCAATATTTACACATAAACCTTTAACAAACTCTGGGGCTGGGTTTGGATCCTGCCACTCCCAGTCTCCTCTCTTAGAAGGAATTTAAAAGTCTTGGCATCCTGGAAGGGTTTGAAGATTCCTGGTGGCTGTTGGGTGTCATTTGTCTAACTCATGACCCAGCAGGAGTTTCTCCAATAAAGAAATAAAGCTTTTGCCTGAAGCTCCCACTCTGCCCATGACAGGAAGCCCTGGGAGTGTCTGTGACATCCCAGCACTTTGGCAGCCTGGGGACTCCTGGGATGTCACCGTGGAGCCCCCGGGAGTGCCTGTGACAGAGCAGTGCCTTTGCAGCCCGGGGTCCCCTGGGATGTCCCCATGGAATTGCTGGGACTGCGTCTGAGCACACAGCTCTTCAGCATCCCCAGAAATCCCTGGGAAGTCTCTGTGAAGCCCCTGTCTCTGCCTGTGACACTCTGGCTCCTGAACAGCCTGGAGACTCTTGGAATGTCCCCATGGCGCCCCTCTGAGGGCCTGTAACAAATCTGGCCCTTGGTAGGCAACCATCCCTAGCCCCATGTAGTGATGGTCTGATTCCATGGCAGTCAGCACAGCCCCTGTTGCTATGGGCAGTCCCTTGGCAGCTCCATGGAGACCCCATGCCAGGGGTGGTTGCCATGGACACCAGCTCAGACCTGGAGCCAGAGCCCGTTGCCATGGCAACCATTTGCAGTCCCATCCCCAGGCTCATGGGATCCCAGAGCCACAGAATTGGCTGAGTTGGGAGGGAGCCATGGGGATCCTCCAGTCCAACTGCTGGCCCTGCACAGGACACCCCAACAATCCCAGCCTGGGCCTGGCAGCGCTGGCCAAACGCTGCTGGAGCTCAGCCAGCCCTGGAGCTGGGAGCCTTCCCTGGGGAGCCTGTTCAGTGCCCCAGCAGCCTCGCGGGAAAAACCTTTTCCTCACATCCAGCCTAAACCTGCCCGCCTCAGCTCCAGCCGCTCCCTCCACTCCTGTCCCTGGGCACCAGAGGGAAGAGGTTCCCGCAGCCCCCAGCCAGGGACCCGCTCCCAAGGCTGCTGCCATGGCAACCAGGCCTGGCACCAGCTGGGATGCTCGGTTTCCACAGGCTGGGCTTCAGGAATGGCATTCCCCAATTTCCTGCTCCTGCTGCTCGCTTCCCTCCCACCTCCCATGGAAAGCACAAAAGGCAAAGATCCCAGGCTGGGAAAAGAACAATTTATTGAGAACAGCCATGAGATGAGGAATTAACATGAACAGAAATAATTTTGATAACAGAAGGGATAAGATAAATTATTTACAGGGAAAACTAATAAACAACCTATTGGCTCATCCTGGCCATGTATTTCCTCCTGCCAAGAAAGGACACTCTTCTCCTCTGGTGAGGGAGAGGGAGTCCTTTTCCTGCCCCTGGCAATGACCTGAGATGGGATTGAATATAATGACAGGGACATGGTCAGACTCTCATGTTCTTTGATCTCACATTATGTCATTGCCATGGGCAGGAAAAGGTACAGGTGTCTTCCCAGCATGGATCCCAGGGAACATGGATCACGAGGTCTCTTACCAGTGTCGGTCCTCCAAGGTGGGATGAAGCTGGAGCAGTGAACAAAGCTCTTCTTGCACTTGGGGCACTCACAGGGCTTCCCTTACTGGTGCCTCCATTGGTGTCTCGTCAAGTGAGAGCTCCGGGTGAAGCTCCTCCCACACTGGGGACACTCGTAGGGCCTCTCCCCAGTGTGGATGCGTCGGTGCCTGATGAGGTTGGAGTTGTGCTTGAAGCCCTGCCCACAGTCGGGGCAGCGGAAGGGCCTCTCATCCGTGTGAATCCGCTGGTGCTGGAGGAGATTGGAGCTGCTCTGAAACCTCTTCCCACACTCAGGACACTCGTAGGGCCTCTCCCCAGTGTGGATGCGCTGGTGGATGATGAGTTGTGAGCTGCAGCTGAAGCCCTTCCCACATTGCCCACACTCGTAGGCCCATTCCCCAGTGTGGATCATCTGGTGACAGATCAGGCGGTTGCTCCGGCTGAAGCTCTTCCCACACTCCAAGCACTTGTAGGGCTTCTCCCCATCCTGAAGCTGCTCATGGACCACCAGCTCAGAGCCCTGGCTGGATCTCCGACCGCCTTCCCGGCACAGGGTGGGTCTTTCCTCCTCAGAGCACCCTGGGATGGGTTTGGAGCCCCTCCTCCTGTGGGATCTCTGGGGATTTTCCTCCCTGTTGGATTCCTGCATTGTGGAGCTGCTCAAAATTGCCTCTTCCATGAGGTTCTGCCGTGGGGATTTTTCTTCCCTGGTCTCCATCCTCAGCTCCTTGTCTGGGGGAGGAAGGACAAGGAGAGGATGGGATTTGCCTCCGTGCCAGAGGGAAGGGGAAGGAGATCCCCCCAGTGCGTCCCCGGCAGGACGGCGTCGGCAGCGGGGTTGTCCTGCAGCCGGGGGCCAGGCTGGGCTGGGAGATGGAGCAGGAGAGAGGGGGAAAGGGGCACTGACTTCCTCCTCACCTGCCTCGGTGTCCTGGGGCATCTTCCTCTTCCTCACAGCCTCCTTCTCCATCCAGCCAAGTTTTGGAATGGGAAATCCTGGTTCGGGAGAGAACAATGAATGAGCAGGTTGAGTTTGAAGGTCCCTCTGTCCAAGTCCCTCTCTAGAAGTCCCTGGGTATCTGGGGGGTCTTGGTTTGAAAGGAAAGGTGTTGGCTAAGGAAGGCAGAAACCCCCATTGAAATTGATAAAAATGTAAGCAACAACTCTCTCCAAATTATTATAATCTTGATATCAAAGTGATCTCAGATAAAGATATAGGAATAGAAATAATAGTTCTTTACTAAAGGAAGAAAAATGAAAATGCAGCAGTACAAAAGAAAAAAAACAACAAAAAACAGCACTCTGAGAGAGTCAGAATACAACCTGATACCCTGTTGGTCAGGGTGCTGGTAGCAGTCTGATTAAATGGTGGCTGCAGTCCTCCTGGAGTGACTGATGTGGTTCTGTTGAAGCAATGATCCTGTAGAAGATTGTAGCTTACCTCTGAAGTTCCGGTGCTGTAGATGGGTCTGGTCTCTCCTCTGGGAATCCAGTGGACAAAGACTGCCTGTGGTGCTTTGGTGCTATGATTATATTCATGCAGGAATGCTTGGCTCCTCCCCCTGGGTGGAGCATCTCACAATGGGATGATGTCATTTTATCAGTCCTGCACTGAGACTCAATGGCCCATTAACAGAAGATATCCCCTGGAGGAAGGATGGGTGGTGGAAGAGATAAAGAACACTGCCCCACCTGGTTTTAACAGCTGGCCCATTAACAGAAGATATCCCCCAGTTATGAGGGATGGGTGATGAAAGAGATAAAGAAACCTGGTCCTCTAGTTTTTAACAGATGGTGAGAGAATACATGCTTTTGGTTGAATCTTGCATTGCAACCCAGGACATGGGGTACATAAAAATTGTACACCACCAAAATCTGGCCCTGAAAATGCCTCCCAGGAGTTCTAGTTCCATCTCTGTTCTCTCCCTTTTGGTGTTCAGGCTTTCACCCCTGTCCCAGCTGCTGGGGGTCACGCTTGTACTGTGGGTCCCCTGTCTACTCGGTCCCTGACCTCTTCTGGCTGCTGGGAGTGCCAGGAATTTGAAAACTTCCTCCCATTTCCATCTCCCCACTTAGGGATGCTGGAAGTTTTTGGGGTCCCATGGTCCCTGCTCCCCTTATTCCCTTCTTGGGGGTGCAGGGGGTCCAAGGAATCCCCCCTGCCCCTCTCTATGCAATTGAGGGTCCCACAAATCATGGCGCTCCTCCTCTCTGGGCTCCCCACTTTGGGGTCCTGGGGGACACAGGGCTCTGCTCCTCCAGGCTGCCTCTGCTGGCAGCTGCCACTGGGAACCCCAAATGTCCCCCTAAAGGACATTTTCTTCTCAGCCTTGGTGTTCTTCATTCTCCAATCATCACCCCCAAAAACCCAACCCAGGAAGCCCCCAGGATATCTGGGCCGAGCTCCCCCTCCCTGGTAACCTGTGGGATAGGGGGGGTGTTGATCCCATGGATGGGGGGGCTGTGAATTCAGGGAGTGAATCCCAGCTTGACGGGGATATACTGGACCTGAGATCATACTGGGATAACAAGCACCTAACTGGGATTACTAGGAGTGTCTGGGAATGGCTATGGACATGCTGAGAGCAGCTGGGATATACTGGGAGTGTCTGTGACCATATTGGGGATGACTGGGAACACACTGGGAACAATGGGAACCATGCTGGGGACAACTGGGAGCAACTGGGAGTGACTGGGTCTGCACTGAGGGCAGCTGGGAATGACTGCAACCTTGCTGGGAGCAGCTGGGATCATCTGGGAAGCGACTGAGACTATACTAGGGGCAACTGGGTGCAACTGGAATCACGCTGGGAGGAACAGGGAGCAACTGGAACCATCCTGAGGGTAACTGGCATCCTACTGGGATCACAGTGGGAGCAGTTGGGCCATGCTGGGCAAGACTGGGACCATACTGGCAGCAACTGGGACTGCACTCAGCGTGACTGGGAGTGGCTGGGAGCAACTGGGATCAGGCTGGAAGCACCTGAGGAGTGACTAGGAGGAACTGGGATAGACTGGAAGAAACTGAAACCACAGTGCAGGTAAATGGGAGCAACTGGAACCACACTGGATAATCCTGGGAGCAGCTGTGCCCATGCTGGGTCATACTGGGATCCTACTGGAACTAGCTGGGATCATACTGGGGGTGACTGCAAAGGTG